AAGGTTACTCTTTTGAGTACAACATCAGGCCGAATTGCTGGGCCAGATCATCCCGGACTCTGAGATTTCCCACAAAGGAGCAAATCTGAAATACCTTATTCAATTACTCCTAAAGCTGTTAACCCTGAAGTAACTCAGTATTTCAATGCATGGATAATTGAGACATAATGCCAACTGCAGTTTGAGAGAATTTGATGGAGAAGGACAGAGAGCGAGGTGGACTCCCTGGAAACTTCCCAGCAACATCTCCAAAGTGCCCTACTTGAGGAGAGACCAGCAACAGTATATGCGCACACATACCTTATTTTCAAGGCACTGCTTTGACCCTGACATTCCTCTCACATCTTCAGGCTCTGAGAATTAAGGACTCTAATTGGGAGGGATTGCCAATAGTTCAGAAGTCAGGAGCAGAATTCAAAACTATCTTAACAGATTAGAGAGATGGGCCAAAACAAATAAAATGAAGTTCAACAGAGACAAATGCAAGATACCCCACTTAGGCAGAAAAAAATGGAATGCAACGATACAGAATGTAGGACGCCTGGTTTGACAGCAGTACGTGTGAAAAAATCTTGGAGTCCTCATGAACAACAAGTTAAACATGAGCAGCTAAAAAAGCCAATGGGATTTTGGCCTGCATAAATAGGAGTCTAGTGTCTAGATCCAGGGAAGTCATGCTCCCCCTCTATTCAGCCTTGGTCAGACCACACTTAGAATACTGTGTCCAATTCTGGGCACCACAATTGAAGAGAGATGTTTGTGACAGGCTGGAATGTGTCCAGAGGAGGACAATTGAAATGATCAAGGGTCTAGAGAACAAGCTCTATGAGGAGCGGCTTAAAGAGCTGGAAATGTTTCACTTGCAGAAGTGATGGCTGAGAGGAGACATGATGGTCATGTATAAATATGTAAGGGAACGTCATAGGGAGGAGGGAGCAAGCTTGTTTGCTGCTGTACTGAGACTGGGATGCAGAAAAATGGCTTCAAACCACAGGAAAGGAGATTCCACCTGAACATGAGAAAGAACTGTGAGAGCTGTTCAGCAGTGGAACTCTCTGCCCTGGTGTGTGGTGGAGGCTCCTTCTTGAAACAGAGGCTGGATGACCATCTGTCGGGTGTGCTTTTAATGTGATTTCCCTGCCTCTTGGCAGGGGATTGGACTGGATAGCTGACAAGGTCTCTTCCAACTCTATGATTCTATGATTCTATTTTCAAAATCCTACATTGTTAATGGCCATACTGAATGTGGGATGCTAGGAGTTCTAGTCCAAAAATGTAGCTTTTGTTGGTTTGCCTTAAAGTCATAATACGTCAGAAATGACTTGAAGGACAATGCCACCATCATCATCAACAACAACATGGATCTGTGCAGCAGTTCTATGAGTGGCTTGCACAAAATGTAAACACATCTAATGATCAATTGGGTTTTTAAAAACATACTATGGATCACTAGTTGCTTAATTAAATGGGAGCTTGGAAAGTAATTTTTAAAAGATTGAGTTAGTTATAATTCCAGGCTCTTCCCAGAATAATTAATTACTATTTTGTTTTTGTTTTTTTAAAATTTTCCTATTTCTTGAAAGGTAAATAAAATAATTACTATTACTTATTTCTTACAAAGATCTAACTAGAATATGCTGTTCGGCTGTTGTACACTCTCTTCCCACCTACTTCACTGTCATCTGAACACCCACAAATATGCATGAGTAAGTATCAGAGTAAGCATCAGAAGTTGGTCTAATTTATAAGCCCTTGTTTTCACAGCTTCTGTCTTTACACATTAATCTTATCTAATGCTGATTTTAATTTCCAGTGATCTATTTATACTAACATTTCTTTTAATAAATCTTACTTTCAATTAATCCAATTGCCTTCTTGGCACACAACTAAAAGAATCCCTATTTCATAAGATACAGATCTCATCATAAGATAAAGATTTCTGGAAGGGCTATCTAGAGGTTACGATACAGAAGGAAACTTACTGGTGGTAGCACATCTAAAGCAAGGCCAAAAAGATAGACCTAAAGAACACCACCTAAAGGCAATTTACCATATTTTCCAGCATATAAGACGACTGGTCATATAAGACGATCCCCAACTTTTCCAGTTAAAATGTAGTTTGAGATATACTCGCCATATAAGACTATCCCTTTTCCAACTCACACCAAATACAATTTTTATAAAACATCAAATTTGATTTCAATATGATAATTTTCCTA